GCAGTTCGGCTTGGCCTGAGCGAAAGATGTGGAACCAGGGATTTGAGGCGCCGACAGCCGATTTCCGATGTTAGGATGCCTCCGTCATTATGTACAGAACTTGGACGCTCACAAAAACCGCACTTGCGCTTGAGCCTTGCAATGTTTCCTCGATCCTCGCATTTTGGATGTATGACAAGGTTGAGTCGGAGTTCATGTGCAAGCCTTTATCGCAGGCTTTTGCAGGCTCTTGCAGAGTAAGGCTGTTGCGCCACTGCAAAGATGCCCTCAAGTGGCGGCCTCAGGATCTCAACACCCTCAGAAAATGAGTTTCGGGGTCTGATTGCAAGGGGAATCCATTGCATCACAAAGGCCTTACACACCCTTGGGCCGTTTTGGGTGGCTGGGCATCAAGGCCAGAAGACCGCTTTGGCCGTCGCTGCTGGCGCGGCGGCCACGCTGGCCACTACGGCCGCCAGGGCTGCAAAGAGCCAGTTCTCGGCCTGGGAGAGCGTGGTCGAGTTTCAGAAGAGTATCGCCGCGAAATCTCGGAATCGGACAAACGCCAAGAGTCGAGGCCTTCGTCCAAAGCGGCCCAGCTGCTCAGGCCCTCCGCCTCCGCCACCAGCTTTCTCGGTTTTGTAAAGGTCTTGGGGTTGGGGCTCCACGAGCTTTCCGCTCGCGATCCGGGAGGCTCCGGAGAGAAGTAGCGTGCAGCTACGCGGCCGAGCGGCTGCACAGACCAGCGCCACAGGCCCGCAGGATCTTTGCTCCACGGGCGGGTGTGAGGGTTCATGGGTGCAGCGCGAATGCGGCATTTGAGAAAATTTCGGAGGGCATCAAATTCCAGTTCCTTGGCCGCCCTGTGACTCTACCAGCCCCTCCTTTGAAAGGCTTCACGTGAACCTGAGCTGAAGACTCGGACGTTATCAGTGTGCGCTGTCAGGTAGCAGTGCGCCAGGCCTCGTTGGCTGTACGGCCGCAGCTACAGCATCAGCCGCTCAAAGAGCATTAGGTGCTGATTGTAGTGGAGGTATATGGGCACAAAGCGCCAACCTGTGAAGTTCATGGTGAAGTACAGTGCATGGTGCTTGTGCATCGCACTTTTCCATACCATGTCCTAGTACAAAGAGCAGCTTCGTCGTTGAGCCCTCAACCCGCAGCCCTGTTATTCTACGTCTTTTGAGTTAAGAGAATCAGTGACCATCGCTCTGAAACGGAGCTTCCAGGCCCTTCTCGCAGCGCAGCTTCGCGGCAAGGAGCTCTCTGGGGCTCTCTGGGGCTCCCGGGCTTACGTGGGGCATCCGGTCTTGCGAGTCTTCCGGTGCCGACTCTTCGACCCGACGGACTCGGACTCGAGACGAAGGGAAGAGATTTCTTCGGATGTTGGGGAAAATGTGTGAAAGTGAAATGCCGGGCGTCTCGAGAATCTAAGTGCCGCGGGGGACTGCTGGCTCTTTGCACGTGTTTCTATAAAAGCAAAGGGCGCGAAGCTGCTAGGACATTCGGAGGTTTCAGGTTTGAGGACGGGGAGACTCAAGCAGTCGTGGCAGAGGCCGTTTTTACCCAGCTCCCGGCACCTTAGAGCAGCCTTTACTAGACCCCATGCAATCCGTGGCGCGCCTCCGGTTTCAAGGCACCTGAGCCCTGAACCGCTCCCCTTAGCCTTCCCCCTTCACAAAAAAGCCCCCTCCTTAAAGAACCGCAGGGCCAAGGGCCCAGGGCCCTGCAAGAAGCCCCCTTGTTGAATTCCTGGGTGCAACCTCTCTGGCGCAGGCCCAGAGCCGGAAGTCCCAGGCCGATCTCGGAGCGTCTGTGAGAGGTTCTGTTAAGATTTCTAGGGGAGACGGGAGAGAAGGGGGCCCTTGGGCCCTTGGGGAGGTGTGCCCGAAGAGCCCCAGCTGTGGACACGGAAGGTGGTCGTCAGCGCCTTTGAGAATGAGCTCGGCGTACAGGCTCCGGTTCTCTGGCGTTCGGCTTTGCGGAAAGGTAGTCTTATTGAGCGTTGCCTGAACTTGAACACCTTTCCCTCCACGTGCTGCAGGGGGCAGGATGTGAGTGAAACCCGAAAAGCACCGACCTGCCTCTCCGCTCTTCGGCGCTCTTCTGCGCGCAGCTGCTGCAGGCACCTTTCGGGTTCTGGGACCCCATTGGTTTCACCGCAGACGGCGACGTCGATGCCTTCAAGCGCCGACGGGCCACCGAGCTCAAGCACGGCAGAATTGCGACTCGGCTGCCTAGCAAAAGCATACAAACACCTCGCAACCTCTCGCAACTCTGAATTGCGTCCGGAACAAAGGCCATGCTGGCAACCATGGGCTTCATGACTCCAGAGCAGCCCGGACGCAGTTGTAGCTTCCAGACTTACGTACGTCTTGCGATGTCTTGCGTGCCTATGTCGGCATTGGGCCAGGTCTTGCTTGCAGTCGGTCTTTCCCTGAAAGGGGGACATACATGCAACGCCAGC